GAGACTATAGCCTGGATCAGGTGCACCTTAGTCTCCAGCCTGATGTCATTGCTCTTCAATTCTCTTGAGAGGTCCCTCACAGCTGACTTTGCCAATGCAATTCATCTCCTGACTTCCTGACTGCTGTTACCAAGAGTGATGACTATGGAGCCAAGTAAACAAAAACTGTTAACTCTCTCAATCTCTTCACCATCCATACTGATGCTGCCAATTGGCCCAGTGGTGAGAATCATTTTCTTGATGTTGAGCTTCAATCCATATTGAAGACTGCAGTCCTTGACTTTCTGCAGCAAGCACTTCAGGTCCTCCTCAGTTTCAGCAAAAAAGGTGTCATCTGCATAACAGAGACTGTCGACAAATCTCCCACCAATCCTGATGCCACATTCATTCTCGTACAGCCCAGCATCTAGGATGATCAGTTCTGCACACAGATTGAAAAGGTATGGAGACAAAATACATCCCTGATCGACCCTTTTCTTGATTTTGAACCATCCAGTGTCTCCCTGCTCTGTTCCGACGCCTGCCTCTTGGTTCAAGTATAGGTTCTGCATTAGCACAATCAAATGTTCTGGGATTCCCACTCTTCTCAGAGTCAGCCACAGTTTGTTGTGATCCACACAGTCAAAAGCCTCTGCATAGTCAATGAAGCACAGATAGACATTCTTCTGGTATTCTCTGCTTTCTGCCAAGATAAATCTAACATTAGCTACAATATCCCTAGTGCTACAACCTCTTCTAAATCCATCCTGCACATCTGGCAGTTCTCTGTTGACCTATTGTTCCAAATGTTTTTGGCTCATTTTCAGCAAGTTATATCCTGAAATACAATGTAGTGAGTGATAATATCCATACTCACACAAGAAAGACCCATTAGCACAACTAGTGTTCAAATATATGCATGCTCTGACATTTATGGTCAAAAAGCAAGAAAATGAGAATGTTTATCAAATCTTGCAGTACGAAATTAATCAATCACACAGGCAATCAAGACATATTAAAGATAACTGGAAACTAGAATGCAAAAGTAGAGAAACAATGAAGAAAAAAATAGTAGTTGGAAAATATGGGCTTGGTGAAAGAACTGAGCCTGAAAATAGGATGCCTGCATTTTTTTGTTAGAATGAGTTCTTCCTAGGAAACACCTTTTTTTAAAAGACAGAAGAAAGAACTTTAGACAAGGATCTCACCTGACTGGACACACAGGTATGAGACAGACTACATTTGTAAAAGAATTTGGACTACATTTGCAAAAGAATTCGTTGGAGAACAGGATGGAACAAAGAAATCTGTAACTGGCTGTGATCAATTAGTTGCGGCCTCCACTGCACTCGGACCAGCCTGGAGAACAGGATGGAGACACTGAATGACAATGATGGAAGATTAGTTGAGTTCCTAAGCCAGGTTTGGAAACCTGTATAGTATATTTCAAATTAAGTTTATCACCTCTGAGGTGGATCCAACACATACGTGATCTTCCAGTGGGCTGCTGTGTGGGGATTTTCAGTTGAGTGGTTTTATTGTTTGATGTTGGTGGTTTGTTTTTTCCCCCAGCACATATATGAATTGAAACACAGATTTAAAAAAAAAAGAAAAAAAAAAATCAAGCAGTCCTGAGAAAGTTTTTATTTGCCTATTAACAGTAGAAATAAAATACAACATACTTCAGAAAAATTCAATCCTTTTTTTAGTTTGTTAAACAATTGTATTTTTAGGAAGTATTTTTAAAGTACAAATGTTATCAAAAGATATATTTACAGTTATGTCACTGGTTCATATTAACAATGCAAGGCATAGAACAGGTAAGACTGTGGAGAGGAAATTCACAAAAGAGTATTAACAGATTTTGAATCACCAATTCTGTCATTCGAGAAAGTTGGAAAGTGCTGACCCTGAAAGTTCATCTCTCTTTTCTGGGAGCAAAAAAAAAACCCCACTTCCAAATTCCTTATCGGTGGAAACATAGCCTCCTGTTTAAAAATATGGATTTCTCAGGAACATTTGATCTACACATGATACTCATTACTCCAACTTTGCTCAGAGATACCGGGTTGAACAGTCAGCCATAATGCCTATTGCCCTCCAGGTGTCTTGGGATGGTAACGGATTGTTCTAGTTTTCTTTGGGGACTGAATTTTGGAAATGACATCATCTTGCTTTATGTCCAAAATGCCTTTGGGTACCTTGAAACTCCCACCTGTGTTGTAACTGATGACAATTTATGAGTTTGCATCACTCAAAGGCAAAGCAGGAGGCATAACACAAGGTCTGTTAGGATACAGATACAGTCATGCTGGTGGCCAGAAAGGGCTCACAGGCCAGCCTGAGCCCTCAAGGACAGGGTGGTAGGAAGGACGGAGGATTAAAAGGCAAAGGTGACTTAAGAGTCCACGTAGGAGCCCTGATCCCAGAGCACTTAGGCACCTGGCACTATTATATGAAAACAGATGAGATTCAAAGCAAGAACGGATGTTTACGATAAAGAGACAAAACAGCTCCGTAAATTTATTACCTGCAACCTTGAAAATGTGAAGGGATACTCCCACTCTGACTCATATAGACTGTTAACACTTAGAATCCATTTGATGGGTAGACAATTGATCGTACATGAAGAGAACACTGACTAGGGTGATTCTGGGGGTTTGATCTTTTAGGTTTTAGGATTACTTTTAATTTGTTTGTAGGCTTTCTTTATGTGACTCAAAGCCTACATTTTCCATTACTTTTGCAGGTAATCAGTCATTAAGTACATGTAGTTGGATTCAAAATGGCTTTCCTATACTCAATTTTAATTGCTCCTGGAGATGGACAGTACAAAGAGGGTGTGTTGCTTGTACAACAAGGGGACTGGCTAGTCTTACCAATCCACAAAGGAATTGCGAGACCTGCCATGTAATGAAGTGAAGCCAGCACTAGAGAGTCTTTTACCATCACCAAAGGAAGCACAGGCATGCAGTTTTTTAAAAAAAACAGTAATTTTATTTCATTTTAATGGTGATATTAACACAAGGTTACAGAAAACTGGGATTTTCATTCGTTTTCTGCCCTCCGTTGTCCCCTAGTTCACTTTTTAACATTCACTCACTGTTGCAGTTTCCTCTCTCCTCCTTCACCAGACCACTTTGCACTGTACCTCTTACTCTGGACTGTTGTCATATATATGCCTGATCATATATTGCTTTTAAAAAGTTCTTTGCTTCATTTGCCCAATGCACTGTTTATTATCTGTGTACACGTTTCCTATTCTCATCACAATCCTTCATGTTTTGGACGAGTGGTGTTATAGTACCTTTGAGAAATACCGTGTATACTGTAAAAACAACACAGTACCTCTGGGTTTACGCACAAACATATATACCTGCATTCATAATTCCCTAAAACATGATGTGAATGTCACACCATATGCCGTAACCCACACAAAAACGAAACTATTCCTAGCAGGTACAATTGTGGAGACTCGAGAAACAATTTCAGCCAATGAAAGATTTTCTCATCCTTGTCACTGAAGACGGCCTAAATATTTCAAAGGCTTATGAGCCTAAGTCTTACATTATCATTTTAATGAATACATTTTCTGCAGGAGTTACTTAATATGGTAAACTCCTACGAGTTAAATCATAATAAAAAAGGAAATGAGAACAGTGGTATGATACAGTATTTGTCCTTTTGTGACTCAGATATTTCACTCAGCATCATTTCCTCCAGTGTCCCCCATAGTGAGTCATGTTTCACAAGTTCATTGTTTGTTTATCAGTGTTGTGTAGTACTCCACTGGGTGAATATACCATAGTTTTTCTATCCGTTTGGTGAATTAAACATGTCCAAGACCATGGGAGACGTGTCTGAACCTGTGAGAATTGCTGACGTGCTACTGATTGTATTCCTGACACAATTCCCCTTTGTGAAATTGGTAAAGATGAGAGATAGTCATCTCCTGGTGGCCCTTACTGTTTTTACAGGTATAAATGACAACAGAGTGATATTTAAAAATGCATGTGGCCACCACGATGGGGCTGGAATCCAGGTGTGGAGTATTCAGAAGTAGCCTGACTCGACAGAGGTGTGATTTCTTTCTTTCATAGGGTTTTCAAAGGCCTATTATTTAAAGAAGTGGCTGGGGATTCCTACTTCCAGTGGATTAACTTTCACTATCCCAGAACCCAAAAGGTATCACAGGAGCACAAACTGTCAAGACAAAAGCTGTCCTACTTAGAACAGAGTCAAGTCTCGGTCTTTCTGATCACTTGCTATGCATCTGAGAGAGAGAGAGAGACAAAGAACTGGGATGACAAAAGAAACATGACTAGGTTCGAATCCAAGAACTGATATTTGAGAAAGTGATGAAACAATACATGTCAATAAATAGTCGTGGTCTTGGAAAATCTATCAGACACTTGGTACTATCATATTGGATACCTAGCACTTTGAATCGATGGATTTTTCTTTTCTCTGTGAACACTGAGATGTAATTCAGAAAACAGGTTTTGGGATATTCTTCCACTAAGTATAGCTTTTGAAACACAAGAGAACAAAAATGTATAAAACAGCCTGGACAGTTTTACACACAGCACCAAGAAGAGTGCTTCCCAACTGCGCATGTCACTCTTTTGCTTTTTTCTTTTTGATTAAACACTGAATGCCTCTGTTCTCCATAAACAGATGTGACTGATAACAGTTCACTGTAGTTGTGTATACTGAGGTAACTCCCATGATGAATGCCTTCCTGGAAAACGTAGAGAGACCTAGGACATGGATAGCATCTTGAGGAAGCTTCTCTACAGTGAAATCTACTTTCCAGTTAAAGGATCTAAATCTTTCAAGACTGTCCCAGGCTGACAGAAAACAGTTCAGGGTGAGTTCTTAAGGTCATTTTTAGGGTTTAAAATATTATAATTTTTTTTGTTGTTGTTGTAGTTAATTCATTTTTACACCTCCTCAATTTCACAGGAAAAAAAATTACACCAGTTTCGCAGGTGATTCAAGTGCAAGAAAGTCTTCCCACATTATGTATAGTCATAAGTCCTCTCTCCTGTATGAATTCTTCTATGGGAAGCGAGCTGTTTTGGTTGTGAAAATCCTGTCCCACACTCCTTACATTCATAAGGTCTCTGTCCTCTGTGAAGCCTCAGATGTGGAATGAGGGAAGTTGATCGGGCAAAGGTTTTCCCACATTCCTTACATTCATAAGGTTTCTCTCCGGTGTGAATTCTTTTATGTATACTGAGCTGACTTAACTGTGAAAAGGTTCTCCCACAATCTTTACATTCGTAAGGTTTTTCTCCTGTGTGAACTCGAATATGCTGATTGAGGGAAGTTGATTCGCGAAAGGCTTTCCCACACTCCTTACAGACATAAGGTTTCTCTCCTGTATGAATTCTTCTGTGTGTAGTTAGGAGACTTGATTGCGAAAATGTTTTCCCACATTCCTGACATTCATAAGGTTTCTCTCCTGTGTGGATTCTAAGATGTGGAATGAGGGAAGCTGATCGGGCAAAGGTTTTCCCACATTCCTTACATTCATACGGTTTCTCTCCTGTGTGAATTCTTCTATGCGCGGTGAGGGGACTTGACTGCGCAAATGTCTTCCCACAGTCGTCGCATTTATAAGGTCTCTCTCCTGTGTGAATTCTCATATGCTGGGTGAGCGAAGTGGATTCACGAAAAGTTTTCCCACATGTCTCACAGACGTAAGGTTTCTTTCCGGTGTGAATTCTGAAATGTGCAGTGAGGTAAGTGGATTGGGTAAAAGTTTTCCCACACTCCTTACATTCATGCGGTTTCTCTCCCGTGTGAATTTTAAGATGTCGAGTGAGTTCACTGGATCGGGCAAAGGTTTTCCCACATTCCTGACATTCATGAGGTTTCTCTCCTGTGTGAACTCTTCGATGTGACGTGAGATTATTTGAGCGTGAAAATGTCTTCCCACACTCCTTACATTCATAAGATCTCTCCCCTGTGTGAACTCTAAGATGTTGGGTGAGCTGTGTCGACTGGGCAAAGATCTTCCCACATTCCTGACATTCATAAGGTCTCTCTCCCGTGTGAATTCTATGATGTCGAGTGAGGTGACTTGACCGGGCAAAGGTTTTCCCACATTCCTTACATTCGTAAGGTTTCTCTCCTGTGTGAATTCTTCTATGTGACGTGAGCTGGCAGGATTGTGAAAATGTTTTCCCACATTCCAGACATTCATAAGGTTTCTCTCCTGTGTGGATTCTCATATGTTGAGAGAGGAACGTTGACTCGCGAAATGTTTTCCCACATTCCTGACACTCATGCGGTCTCTCTCCTGTGTGAATTCGACGATGTCGACTGAGGTGAGTTGACCGGGCAAAGGTCTTCCCACATTCCTTACATGCATAAGGTCTCTTTCCTGTGCGATTTCTAACATGTTGAGTGAGGTCAACTGACGGGGCCAAGGTTGTCCCGCGATTCTTACAGACATCAGGTCTCTCTCCTGCGTGAATTCTTCTACGTAAAGCCAGCTGATGTGATTTTGAAAATGTCTTCTCATATTCCTCTCGTTGATTAGGTTTCACTCCTACGGGTTTTCCTCCATGTGCCGTGATCTGATTTGATTGAGAAAATGCTTTCACAGAATCTTTACTTTCATGAGGTTTCTCAGCAATATGGGTTCTTGAGTATTTCCTTAGATGTAAGAAAGAACAACAAAAATTTTCCACATGTGTGACATTGATCAAGCCTACCTACACTCTGAATTTTTACATCTACTGTGATGTCTCGATGTCCTACTCCAGGTGGAGAGGAATAATGAGTTTCCCATTTTCGGTACATTCATAAAGCTCATCAAATATCATAAATATACTCTGAAAAACTAAAGGAAATGGATTAAAATTCAGCTTTTCATCGTTCCGTACATTCCCAATAGTCCACTACATGCATCTAAAGTGATGAGAAGGCACCGAAATCTTTGCTACATTTGTCACTTAAAATGGGTGGTCTCTGCAAGGTGAGTGTGCAATAGGTTAACATCTAGAGAATTTCACCCCAAACAGAAAAAGAGTTTAAATTCTGATGTAGGTTTCATATGGGGGTGGGGGGTGGGGTTATCTCTGCAATCCTTTCACATAGGTCCTCTACTGTGTCAAGTATGGTAAAAAAAGACCACACAAAGATGTCATAATAAAACAAAATGAAGATATGAAGGTTTTCCCTTGGGACTCTCAAATTTCTGAAATCTAGCAAAACGACTGCTTCTGTAATTATTTGTATAAATCTTAAGACGTTTGAATGGCCGTCTCAAAAGTCACTGTTAGCTACAAGGTTTTTTCCCATGTGATTGAAACTCACCTAAAATCACTGTCTTGGTTTTTTTCTGAATCTCCTTTGCCTCGCAATGCTGACATCTGTTGTAACAAGGCAGGCCAAGGCGGGGTCGTCTGTAAGAATTTCATCTGTGTATAGTCACAGGATAGAGCTACTCTATCACTAATGTTTTGAATACCTGCCAAAAAGCAAGTACAACAATATAAAACCCAAACCAACAGAAGTCACAGACCACAGACGTTTGTGAACAGTCACGTAGGTCTATTCTTCAGATTCAGCACATTAACAATGGATAAAAAACTATTAACTGGAAACAGTGATTGCACAAATGAATCATGGCATAGTTTGGTTTCCTCGAGGTTGGTAAATGAAAAGATGACTTACACAGCACACAGATGATATCACAGAGCACACACACGCATATCACACAGGACACGTGCTGCTGAAGAGAGAATTCCAATTTTTCAGTGTAAATTCAAAAGCACTGTTTATACACTGGGACAACTTCATGTGCATTAAGAGGATTTAAAGACTTAACATAGGATACTTTTACCTATTAATTCCAGACTTTTCACTGTTTCCTTCATCACATTCCTGTAGAGATTCTTCTGAGCAACAGTGAGCAAAGCCCACTCTTCCTGGCTGAAGAGGATGGCGACGTCCTCAGGGGACAATGGCTCCTAAAACACACACAACACATTCTGGATCAGAATCGGACCCTGTCCCACAAGGTTTAAAAGAACAAAAAATGATGCTGAGAAAACTGAAGAAACTGTACAGATTTGACCAAATCCTAGTTTGTAACAAGGTTTAGTCAGGGAATCAGACTTCCAATTTGTTCCTTGACTTGTTACATTCATGACTTCACTGATTAAATCTTATCCATCAGATTTACTACACATGGAAATAATATGTCAATACTGTCAGTGTGAACATTTGTACTCAAGAAAACAGCAAACAGTACAAACATGTTTGAATTCTGAGTATCAGTCTGTTGGGAATGCCAACTCATCTCCCTTATCATTTTCTGTCTCTGAAAACAAGCAGGAGGGTCCACTCTCAATCAGGTCTCATTCCAAAGAACCGGCTCTGACTCTGCACAGACACAGAGCAACAGGTTAAAGATGAATTGTGAATGCAGGGGGTCTGCATTGTAAAGAGGGGCTGTCTGACATATGTAGGGCCAGGTCCAAATGAGCAAGTTCCTGGGAATAAGTTGGATGAAAAGAATTACTCAGCCATTCCACAGGCAACCAGTAAGATGCGTTCACACACAAGACTAAGCAGACGGCAGAACCCTGAGGACTCAAGTCCACACCTCTGAATACTGAGCTTTCTTGTTCAATACAACCACCTAGCAGAAAATGATTTGAATGTGCCCCAGGATTAGATATAGCAGTGTCTCTCTCCTCCCTATGAGCCCCTTACGATGCCTATTCCAAGAGGATTTTGTTGGCAATGGTGGGTATGAACAACTATATTGTTAGTCTCTGAGTTACTTCTGTAACTTCTTAAGAGTCCTGAGCACTACAGCTCAAAAACACCTGGAAGCCTGGGCATCAAGTCAGAAAAGAAGACCTCAAATGACCACAACACCAGACACAGACATCTCATGATTTGGAAGAATACAAACGAAGAATGTGGTGCCAAAATTAGTTCTGGGACAAAATGAACATGGTGAGTAAAGAAAGAAGGCATTGAAGGAGCCGGGTAAAGTTACCTGTCACTAGAAATATGCCAAATGGTATAGAAAGTTGATCTGAGTGAAAACAGTACGCCAAGACTTTCACTCACTGCCATCAAGCAGTAGTAAATGAGCAACAATGCAGTCAGTCTTGTGGCTGTAAAACTCACAAGCATAGAAAGTCCATCGCGGCAAGCTCTGGTGGCCTAGTGGCAAGAAGCTGCACTGCAATCTCAGAGGTACACGGTTTGAATCCACCAGATGCTCTGCTGGAGAAGGAGGCACAATCTCCTCCTGTATCAGTCAGATCTGATTTGATGGTACACACAAAAAATAATGAAATAAAATAAAATTTAAAAAAAAAAAGAAAGTCCATCGCTGTCTCATTAAGCTGCTCCAAGAACAGAAGGGTCTCTGAAGAGGTTTAGCACCACCACCGGCTAGAAACAATTCCTCCAGGGGTCTCACCTAAACAATAGACAAAATCTATGCACACGAAACACTATTTTTAAACAGATGCAGAAGGAACTAGAACAGGAATAGATTATTGTGCACACACCTGTAAGGCTTAAGAGAAAAGACAAGATACAATTCACTGTGGCAAAGTGAAAAATGAAAGCCCTACAACATCAAACAGGATGGGGGGAAAATCACAGACAACACCCTGGTCATCTTCAGATTCTGATGAAAAGATTTTGTCTTTTAAATTAGAGAATGAAGACCCAGGATGAGGAGAACATGCTGGATGCCAGTACTGTGGGTACAGCATAAACGTGACCTGTTGATTCTCTGGGATAGGGAGAGAAGGGCTGCAGCTGAGATCAGAGTCTAGACAGGACTGAGTACCCTCTGCAAATAGAGAATGCTGAAATAGGAGATCACTGGATGCTTTTTGCAAACAGAAGGTTGTGCCCAGCCTCCCACAGGAGGGGATGTCACATCTGAACTCAGGTCTTAGTTTAAAAATTAAACTTACCCATTGTTATGTTGGCAACATTTAAGGAAAATTCAATCTGTGGAGACTGAATTGTTTAAGGATGATTGGCATAAACAAAATAAAAACCAGAGAGAGACTAAGAAAGGGCTCTTTTCACAGTGCTAAGCTGTGAGTGGTCCTGTGTCTCAGCCTCTCTCTTTTTCAGAATTCATTGTCTCATGTTCCTGTTTTATTTCTGCATCTGGTTTGCAACATCTGGGGCCCACACAGGGACCTGAAGGAAGCAGCAATCTCTCTCTCTCTCTCAGGCACGGGGAAACCAAAAGGTAAGTGAAGTCTTTCAGGAAAGTATTTTTCAGACAGAGTCATGGGAAATTCCTCACCCCTTGAGGGTCAAGGGTAGAAAGAGAAAAAGTTTCATGAGGATTCTGTCACCCCTTGAAGGATTAAACTCGAGTGTAAAAGCAGGAAAAGTTTCATAAGGATTCTCTCACCCCTTGAAGGACAAAGTCAAGGGAAGAATTAAAAAAAGATTTTCAAGAGGACTTACCCCAACCTCTGAAATAAATTGTTAAAAAAAACAGACCTCAGAGGAAAAAGTGAAAAAAGACTCATGGGGAACATACCATCCTCTAAAGCTCTATATATTTCCCTTTTAAGAGCTCAAGAGCTGCAGGATAAAAGTGAAATAAAAATCTGTTCTGGAGTTGTATATGTGGCTGGTTTCAGCTAGTTGGTGGATCTCAACTGGATTTAAAAACTTGGCATAATGTGATGAGAAATGTACACAGAGCCCATCACAAAGGGAAAATTATTCCTGTGCCTGTCTGATCTACATGCAATTCAATTTCATTGGCTCTGTAACCACTACAGGGAACGAAATGTCTAATAAAATCGACAGAGAATCCTCTTCAGAGGATGGTATTTGCGAAAGGCGTGAAAATGATCTGGTGAAAGAAAGAGAGGAGGACTTTGCTTCTCCTCCAGTCGTAGAAAACACTCATCAACACATAAAAGATGATACTGATTTTAAGAAATTGCAGAAACAAGCTTTAGAATTAGCCAATAGAAGAGATGAAATA